TTTAAAGCGGGCGGCGCTCTCGACGGGACGGCAAGTCAAAAATATTCTTGATGGTCTGTTCTCTGCGTCCTCGCTGGTCTAAAAACGACATTCTGATTAATATTGTTTGCGGCATGGGAATTATCCACCCAATTTTATCCAGATGGGGGGGGGGGGTATTTTTGCCACTTGCTGTGGACTGAAAACGACATCACATTTGCTCAGATAGCGACCGATCACGGCTCACCTGTTTCTGAGTTTGGTCATGTGACATCCGCAAGCTTAGCCGCAAGGCACCGATCGTCCGCGAGTGAGATCGGCCGACACGGATTCGGATCACAGGCCCAACCTGCTCATTAACGATTATTTTTCGCTTTTGATGTGAACCATGTCACTAATGGGCATTCAGACTTCACGCGATGAAATAAGCAACGACCAAGTGGAACCTGATTTGAATACCTGAGGAGATCAAATGTTCTCCTTCATTAGTGCTCGCTGGCTATGCAAACTTTTTTTTCCACATGCACTCCCTTGCATACACGTTTACTCTCTCACGATCTCAACCGATTTCTCTCTGCCGCCCTCAAATTTCACTTGCTCTCACACACACACACACACACACACACACACACACACACACACACACACACACACACCCCCTTACTTTTCTCTCCTGCTCTTATCCTCACATTTCCTCTCGCACTGACACACATACTGTCTCTCACTCAGTCGCGCACTCTCTCAACCGCCACGCGCGTATTTACGCTCGCTTTCACGCTTAGGCGCAAGGTAACGCATTCCCTCACGCTTTCTCTCTCACACATATATCACACTTTGCTCTCACTTTTCCACCTCACATTTACTCTCATAGTCTGTCACTTTCCCAGTCACCTTCACTCTCTCTCACACGGACATTTACTCACTCTCACACACTCAGTCTCTCGCACGAATGCACTCGCTCACTGTCTCTCACCTACACATTTAAGCTTGCTCTCACACATTATACTATCCCATTCTCATCCATGACCTCTCACTCATGCTCTTAATCGACCAAGTACACTCACTCTGTCACACTCACCATCACACTCTTCTCACCCTCACACACCTTCTCTCACTAAATCTCCCACAGACATATATAAACTCAATCTCAGCCATGATCTCTCTCATATACTCTGTCTCCCAATTACTCTCAGTCTGACGCTTTTCTCTCACCCACACATAGTCATTGACACGCTCTCAATCAATCGCTATCACGCTCTCACACTCCCCTGCACATTTAGGCTTGCTCTCACACAGAGACACAGACTGACTCATTCTCTCACACACACTTTTTCTCCCTATGACACTCATTGTCTCTCACACTCCCATGCTCTCACTCATTTACTGTCTTACGCTCTCACGGTCACGTTTTCTCGGCCACCTTCGCTCACCCTTCACCTTCACTTTCTCTCGCTCTCAAACACATGTATCGTCAGTGTGTGTGTGTGTGTGTGTGTGTGTGTGTGTGTGTGTGTGTGTATCACTCTTCTATCATGTCTTTTCATGTGATCATTGTCAAGTTTGCACCATTCCATTTCCGAACTCAAGAGCGCTCGCTCCCCCCACCTCGCCCCGCCATTCCCGCCGATTCCTCAAGCGTGCCACCGCCAAGAGCCGTCAATCAGGCATCCAGGGTTAGACTTATTACCACATGAATCCCAAGAAGAGGACGTTCTCTGCCACATAACAATGGCGGCTGACCATTAATACGCCTAACATCCCCCCGAGGTTGTTGATCAAAAGGAGTGTCATCCGGGGTAATGGAGTCCGCCGGGATCGGCCCACAGATAACAGCATCCCCACCCCCAGGAGACCGGATTCAGACTGACACGTGTACAAAAATCTTTCATTTGGGTCGTCGACCTCAAAAGATGCTGCCAAGGAAACGGCGGGGCATTAAGCAGATATTCATCTCAATGCGGTGCCGTCACTCTCAAAGACGGACACTGTGCAAACAGGCTTTTGTGCTCATCCGCTCGCGCTTCGTTTCGTTACGCCTATGCCCCAAAAAAAAAAAAAAGCAGGGAATTTCAGTTAAAAAGAAAAGGAAAATGTTTCACAACACTTTTTTGCAGACGTAAGCTGAGAGAGGCCGCTCGCTGTCTCCCAGTCGGCCGTTATTCAAGCGCCACAAAACAACATCGCGAAGTTGCCAGAGTCTTTTATGCAAATGAGTCATCCGTGTGACGCAGGGATTGTTCGAAAGAAGATTGCATTGTGTCGCGGCTTGCGGGCTCAGCGTGGGAAGCGTGCGAACGGCGTATCCTGTTTACACGGTGCCATGAATCCACCTCGTGTCATTAACCGGTGGAAATGAATGAAAAATATCTACACGCGGCTGGGGAGAACAAGTCACAAAAGCGGTTGAGAGAAGAGCATAAATCACTTGTGCGCTATACTGCACACTAAAGGAGCAACAACACAGTATCCTTAATTCAACACCCATGCCTTAATCTTTGAGAATATTCGTAGAGCCCGACCGATTAATCGGCGGGCGGATTAAATCGGCCCTTCAAACATCAGCCAAATGGCCGATTGTTTTTACCTTTACCTTGACTAAACATTTACAAGCCGGTGGACGCAATATTCGCAATGAAATTTTATCGCCTAACCTTGTGTCCTCACGTATATGTTATCATATTTGTGGATAAGGTAATTCTATAGACCTGTCATTCAAAACGTTTTAATCTTTTTTACAAGCAATGCTTAGGTGAGCAATCCAAGTTGTGCAAGGAAGTCATCTGGATCTATTTGACACACAACCTAAAGTCTATAGCTTTGAACTAAATTTTTAATAGTAGTTGATTTTATTGGGTGTTCATACAAAATATACCTTTTGTGAACAAATGGGGGAAAAAAAAGATAAATTTGCCATTAATTTCATGCAGTTTAAGGGAAAATGCGACATAAGGGTATACATATTGGGGACCAAAAAGGAAGTTTTTTTTTGACCATATATTTATAGTTGACCCCCGATATTTACAGGCAGTAGAGACGAAGCCGGCCCGCGAAGAGTGAAAATCTGAGGATAATTGATGACCATTAAAATGCATTGGATGTCATTTTAAAGCATGATATATATTTTTTGAATTAATCAGCCGATCAATCTGAAATTTGTAATTTTTTGTCCTGTGAAAAGTCAACTGTTAAAAAAATAATAATAATATCGTCTGGGCCCTAATTTAAAGTGAATTGTTTGCATTATTATTCCAATTGCATTTTAAATCAGAATTGCAATACAACTTTTTCTTTTTTTTTTTCTACCATCTTATGTCAGACGGGCTTTCCGCGGCCTGTCCCCTCTCTCCTCTCTCACCTGTTTCAGAGTCTTGAGCTTTCTCGAGCAGGAACTCCCGGATTTTTTCTACCCACATGTAGAGGATGCTCTCCCCTGCATGCTCCCTGCGAAAACATTCAGCGGGGTGACTTTATAGTAAGACCAGGGGGAAATTGCGTGTGGGATTGAGGGGGGGGGGGGGGATTTGTGTAACGCCCTCTTATCAAGAGCCAGAGATGAGAGAGGCACTCACACATAGAGGTCTTCCAGACTGTTGGCCAATCGAACCCTCTCAGAGCCCCGCAGCCAGGCCGCGCTACAAAAAGCCGAGAACAAACACAGGGTTATCAAGTGGGGGCGACAAGTGGCTTGTTGACGGATAAATTCGTCAGATCGCCTGAGAATTAAATTTGAAAGGCAAATGCACCGACTTGATCTGGTAGATTGGTGGGGCCACGCTGGGATAATCAGGAGGGAGAATTATCTAGAAGGGGGGGGGGGCAGGGGGCAAAAAAAAAAGTCATTATGCAGATTGTAGACAAAAAAATAAATAAAACACAGATGCCTGTTTGTTTTTTGTTTTGTGTCTATGCACCTGCAAACACGCCGTCAGTTTGGTCTCCTCCATGTCGTTTGATATTTTGATGCAAAATATTCTGGACGCCTCGTCGATGACACACCATTCGTCACCGTAGATGGACGACAGAGCCTCCACCTCCTCCATCTGATGCAAGTGACAATGACACATCAATCACATCACAATATTTACCTCCTCGTCCACCGAAAAGAAGACATCAAAAGTGTCACAAATGGCAGATTAGTGTTGCACCAAATATCGGCATCAACAAGGAACGAAAGTGTTGATCCTGAAAAAATACTAGCGATAATGGAAAAAAATAATTATCCCGATTATTTTGATTGATATGTTGATCACGATTAAGAAACACGATCATTCATTGAGTTCAAAGCTTTGTATTTATTAAACTGTCAAACTACTACTCCAACTATTTCTCCAAAATATAAGACATTATTCTCTGGAGGTTACTTTTTTTTGTTGAAAATACTCTTTATATGCATTTATTCTTGGAAAAAAAAATGCAACTTCACTCTCTTAAGATTTCGATTTATTTTTTGAAAACTTTTCATGACTTTGTGCAATGACTTGCTGGATTTACACGCACTCTACAGGTTGCATCAAACCATTACACGCTCAAATAAAAAGAAAGAACAGTACAAATGACACCTTGCCAGGTGGATTAAATGCAAACATGTCACTTACTTGTGACTGCAGATCGTCTCCTTCATTCTCTGCACTTATCGTGTCAGCCATTAAAACATTACTACAAGTATATATTGAGGGGGGGGGGGGAAACACTCGTTAAATACGGTTTACTAATTGAAAAATTACGACGAATTCCGAGTGATCATGGGCACACGTGAAGACTACGAGGATTCCATTTCCGGGAAGAAACAGCTAGTTAGCGTCTTTGGGTTTCCGCTTTGAGCCTACAAAATAAAGGTTTTGAACACGACTATGGGGTTCAAAAAGAAGTAAAAACGATAAAATAAAATCAAATGGTGAGAAAATACATATATTAAGCGTAGTTTAAACTTTTGAATTCTCCTAAACTGTCCTTACATGACGACTAAGTCAACATGTATTTTATTTTGATAAAAACTTGAAACGAGTTCCGCCATGGCCAAATCAGCTGATCCGGGTGTAAACAGAAAACTGAGACGCGTGCGTGTTGTGTCAAGTGTCTACTACGATGGTCTGGGTTTCGTGCCTGAGTCAAACCCTTGTCGTAGTTGTAGCATGGTAGCTTTTGGGGCTCGGGCTGGGGCTCCAAATACGTCACAAGCCGCGGCACCAAGAAGGGAATTGACACACCGCTGCTACTTTTCAGCGCCTAGTTTCTTCCAGTAAGTACGACAGTACTGTTTACAGTCGTCACGATCGTGTGTTGAGCTACTGACGTGTGTTTCTTGCTCAGGTGGCAAAAGGACATACTTTATATAGTTAAAAAGTACAAATACTTGCGTCAAAACAACTACTGATCTCGTAAGAGTAGTGATTCAAGTACTTTCCTAAATAAAAGTAACGAAAGAACAACCTGTGAAAAGTATTTACGTAAAACAGCATAAGTGAATTACGACTGTCAATGAAATAGAATACTCAGGTATCTGTACTTCACTTGAGTATTAGTTTTTACGACGTTTTGCTTCTACTCCCGACATATGACAACAGCTTTCTTCTGTGATTTGTCTAAATCGGCTTGTTACATTGTTTTCCACAACTGATGACGTAAAAAAAGGCGGAGTAGCCTAATCTCCACTGGAGGTGAAATCTTCATCGATTCGGTGAATTTGAGACAGGGATCATTAATTAAAAACGATGATGCAATATATTTGGAAAAGCAAGACATTCCCCACCCATTGCCTTATTTCAAATAGTTATATTTTTCTTCGGACGTTATCTTGAACTTTTTGGTTTCTGCCGTGAGCTGACAACATGCATTTTGTCTTGAGTAATGCCAAGGATGAGAAATATTTTGCTCCTTCGAGTCTGTTGTGTCATGGTCATGAATGCTTCCTGCTTCCCATTAACCCATGTCGCTGCTGTCTGTATTTTTTTTTTTTTTGGGTGCCTTTTAAGTCTCGATGAGTCAAACACGATCACAAATGGACTTTCCCTTTCTCTACTTATTTATTAATTTTTTTTAGCATCATCTCATCATCCACGGAGGTTGTAAGAAACACAAAATACAAAAAAGGCAAAGTAAAAAGTTACCCGACAAGTAAATACTCAGTCAAAACACAGACACCTGAAAAACGACTGTACGAAAGTCTTGGTTACTTCCCACTCGTGCTGCTTGTGTAACATGTGCTTGGCCCATCACTCCAGGCTACTTCATCTTTTGAAGTGTTGCAAATGGAAATATAGCAGCTCGACATCATGCAATTTACTTGTGCAAATGGTGGAGGGCAGAATTCATGCAGTGTAGACAGATTTATTCACACAAACATTGAATCAAACAAGTTAAAAAATATATCTGGGCATATGATGCCATGAACACATTTCTCCATGTGCCATCGCTAATGAAAGTCTGCCTTAAAAAAGTAAAATAAAGAAGCTGTAAAGCATTTTAGGAAATAAAGACTACATTAAGATATCGATAAAATCAGCATATTCAGAAATGTGACCAACCATGATTCAGGAATTACGGCCTGCGCATTATTAAGAATCTCATCTAATCCCATCAAGAGTAATAAATGGCCGCAATTAAGACATTTAGATAAAAACATGAGTTTTTCTCCAACATCTTTAATCACGTAGGCCATTAAATATTCAATTCAGTTACAAATCCTCCATAATCAGATTAATAGCATCAAAATGCCATTTTCACAAGACGTAATCACATGCAAATGGTATGCCAAGAATTGTGGTTAGTTGTGGTATGCAAATTGATTTCTTGTTTGTTATTGTTCGTATTTAACTTTTTGTTTTTGCTGAATGCCCCCGATGGGAAGTTAAGATAACAACTGCTGGTCAAAAGGCACATTTATGAATTTCATTAGAGAATAACCGGCGATCATTTTGACACAGTTTTAACCTTATGTACAGTTCTGGTCAAATATGACCCGTATTGACTGATGATCTGCACCCTTGGCAATACATTTCCATTTCCATTTTCTTAAAAACATAAAAATCAATATATTAATGTCAGACATACTATAAACACATGAAAAAAAGATTCATTGTATAATTGTAATGTAGACCATTATTACAAGGATATTTTTGGCTTGGGTCAAAGTTGAAAAGTGAGCAGTATGTAAAGCGCTAATGGTAATAAACTAGCTAAGCCTTTTGTTTCTATCACAAAAGTCGATTCTTTGGTTATTTCGGACTGTTATCGATGATGGAACACTGTCAACTGGGCAGCCCTTCAAGTTTGAACATTTCCGATACAAGAACAAAGCAGTGCCTCACTTTTGACGCCATCCCGTCATCGCCGGGGCAGCGCCCGATTGATTTTTACTGGTGCCCATGTGAGTTTCTGAGAATGCAAGACTTCACGTGGGCTTCATGTTATGCTCAAGCCTTCTGATTCCCTTGTGCTCGTCCTATCAGGCGCTCGCGTGTTGCTGACTGACAAATGACTCTCATGTGATTTTGCTCGTTTCGCATACCCTCCAGCGCCGCAAATGACACAACAATCCCACAACACATGATTTCCTCAAAAATAGTAGCCCTCATTAAGTCAAAAGGGTAGGAACTGTAATCATCTCAGTTCCTCAATGCTATCGTTGCGTCATGAAAATATTAATGGCTGAGCTCCTTTGAACTCTGTTGCTTACCGAAACAGCAGCACAGCTTGAATCAAGTGAATCAAAGTGTGTCGAGCTCTATGCACAGGACCAAATGTTGTGCCTTCCTTAGCATCTTTATGCTAGGGGAAATTAGCTTCGGGGTTTCTTCGTAGCGTCGCATCAGCAATTAGGGTTTCAAGCCATGGTAAAGGTATCAATTTGGGTTTCAAGTTAGGTTTCCAAACTAGGAGTAGAGTTTTAGTCTCAAGCTAGGCTTTAATAAAGTCCCAAAATTCGAAATCAAGAATGCTACGCAACAAGCAAGCTAGCTGTAGTTTGACGTCAAATTACGGTGAATGTGACACAGAGTTATTGCGGAATGATCATGTGTTCATTTCCTCGCCAACCGTGTCGCCGTTCAGGCGTTCATGGAGGATCCGGAGCCAGACGAGGAGTTTCTGTGCTGCGCCAGGAACGGAGACCTGGACGCCGTTCGGAAGCTCCTCGCATCCAAGGTGAGCGGAGAGAGCACGTTGGACATCAACTGCAAAGGTTGGTCATGATAACCTGGATGTTGTACACTCTATTCTCTTTGAGTTTGCTAACCAAAAGATCACCACCCTGTGTCCAAACTACGGCCCGGGGGCCATTTGCGGCCCACCGGCTAAGGTTTCAAAGAAAGTTTTCAAATTAGGGTTTCACATTGTGTTTAGGGTTTCAAGCCTTTGTTAGAGTTAGGGTTTCAAGGTTCACGTTCAAATAAGTATTTGATTGTCAAAGTATGGTTTCAAATACGGGTTTGGGCTTTAAACATTGGCTAAGGTTTCTGTCAGTGGTTGTTGTAATTACGTTTTCAAACATTGGTTAGGGTTTAAAATTTGAGTTTCATGCCTGGGTTAGCATTTCAAACAAGCGGTAGGGTTTCAAATCAGGGTCTCAAGGCAAGGATGGGGTTCAGAAGTAGGGTTTCAATCAGGATTAGGGTCTCAAGCTATGCTTAGGATTTCATCCCTGGGTTAGTGGTTTTAAGTCGAGGTGAAGATACCAAGCCACGGTTTGAAAGTCAAGTTTCGATTTAGGCTTTCAAACAAACGTCCTGGTTTCAAATTACAGTTTCAGACAGCGTTTAGGATTTGAAAGTAAGATTTCCAACCAGCCATATGGGATGTCTGATGTTGTCTGACCGTCATCTCTAATTGTGTTGACGTTGCAGGTAAGAGTAAATCAAACCGGGGTTGGACACCTCTTCACTTGGCCTCTTATTTTGGACACACGGACGTGGTGGACGAATTACTGAAGGTTTGTTCTTCCAAAAAAAAAAATAAGACAATGACCAATGAGGTGAAAAGGTTAAAAATTTGCGCGATTCTCTGAAAACAGGCGGGGGCGGACGTCAACCTGCCGAACAATGTTGGCGACACGCCACTTCATAAGGCTGCCTTCACAGGGAGAAAGGTACCCCCGACGCATGCGTTTCGCCAAAGCAATCCATTATTCAACCGGTTGAATCATCCAGGAAGTTGTCATGCTGTTGCTGCGCTACAACGCCAGCGCGACCGTTATCAATGGAACGGCTCAGATTCCCAAAGACGTCACTCAAAACGTCGAGATCAGAAGCATGCTGGCGGGTGAGACGGAGACGACGGCTTCGCTTCGAGCGGCCCAACGTGACTCAACTGTCGCGCGGGACCGTGCGGGGTTGGGCGACTCGTTTTCATGAGAGGCCAACCGTCTGCGACTAGTTTTGGTCCGATTCCGATTTAATTCTGATTGTCCGTAAAAAATGATTACAGTAGAGTAGACGTGCAACCTCAAAACATCGGATCTGAGCAGATGTGCAGCGGAGGGACGTCACCGACCGTAATTGGTTCGCGTTTGTTCAGTTCAGTCACGTTTGGTCACACATGCACACACATAAGTGCGCACCGAGGACATGTTGACCAAATTGCAAATCGTTTTGTTTTTTTTTTTTGTTGTTTTTATACAGCGGTCGAGAGGACGGAAGAGCGGAAACGTGAATGTAAACTTCTCGAAGCAGCGGGAGAAGGCGACATGGCCACTTTGAGCCAGCTGGTTTGTGTTTTATGCTGTTTCAACACAAGGTTACGGTTTCAAGCCGAGGTTTCAAACTAGTTTCCGGTTTTAAATTTAGGATTCTAAAGTAAGGTTTCAAGGTAGGGTTATGCTTCCTGTCCACATCATGCCACATCCTATGTCAAACATTCCTTCCATCTATCCATCTGAGCCGTAGTGCGCCGGAAATGTCAGCTATCACGGCTCAGTTCTTCACACGATATCAAACACCTTGGGGGAGTTGGCAGAACCATCTGTGTTTGCTCATTCTCTTTTATTTAACTTTTATTTAACTCTGTGTGTGTGTGTGTGTAGCTGAGCAGCAAGACGCCGCCCAACCTAGATTGCACTGACGTGCTGGGCAACACTCCGCTGCACTGCGCAGCCTATCGAGGCCAGAAGCAGTGCGCCGCCGAGCTGCTGAGGGCCGGAGCCAGCACCGCTGTGAAGAACAACATCGGTAAGGACCTGTCAGGATGGGACACCTCTGGAGTCGAATGTCTTCAAACGGTCCCTTTTGATGTTTGCTCAAGCGGAATTGTCAAGGGCAGTTTCTATTAGCGCGTCAACCTCACAGTGCAGAGATCAAGGGTTCGATCCCGGCTCCGGCCTTCCTGTGTGGAGTTTGCATGTTCTCCCCGGGCCTGCGGGGGGTTTCTGCAGGTACTCCGGTTTCCTCCCACATTCCCCCACAAAAACATGCATGCCAGGCGGATTGAACACTTCAAAATTGTCCCTAGGTGTGAGTGTGAGCGCAGGTGGTTGTTTGTCTCTGTGTGCCCTGCCATTGGCTGGCAACCGGTTCAGGGTGTCCTCCTGCCGGAAGACAGCTGGGATAGGATCCAGCATGCCCCGCAATGAAAATAAACGAGATCTCCAGAAAATATATGATAATGACTGCTTTTAAAGACGATAATATAGCGATGCTTCGCTGTGTTCTTTTTCTTTCTGTCTGATTAAACGCTTGTTGCTAAGTGATTGGCGCCTTGACTCAAGAAGCGATGATTAGGTGAGAGGCCTAACAGTGCTAATTAGCCTTGATGCCGATTGAGGTTTTTTTCTGTTTATGTTGATGACGGCGACGTGTTTCTGTCAGGCCAGAATGTGTTGTGAAGCTGGGTAAGGTTTCAAAGGAGGTGTCTAAAATCGTATTTCAAGCTAAAGTGAGGAGTCCAAAGTAGGGTTTTCAGACAGGGTCAGGATTCCAAGTCTTTCTTGTTGATGTGACGTGTTTTTCTCAGGTCAGACCGTGTTGCAGTTGGCCAGCGACGCGGCCATGAGACAGCTGCTTGAAGGCAACACCCGCCGTGTGAGTCTTCACACCCAAAGCCAACACTTTGACCGCTATTGTGGTTTGGTTTGTTTTGTTTAATGGCGTTCCTCGTCTTTACAGGGGATGAGACGCCACGCCAAGAAGTTTGAGGGACTCCTCTGGAAGGTGAAGTTCATCAGAACCTCGGACGCCATTCAATAACTGCCGTTTGTGGATTTCATTTGAAGGTGTCAACGCAACAGAATGCCAATACTGATTTTAGGGCAGACTTTCAAGATAAATTTTGTGTTCAACAGTATGGTTTCACAAGTGGCGTCGTAAATTAGGGTTTCAAGCCTGGGTTAGGATTTCAAAGTAGGATTCAAGCCAGGGTTGGAGCTTTTAAAATAAACTTTCACGCCTGCGTTTAATTTTCCAGTCATGTACATGTGACATGACATGGGACCTAACTGGACCTCAATTCACCGACGTGTGAGGATTGGCCTGGTTCGCTACATACATTACCAAGCAGGAAACATCCATACTATATACTGTATGCTTTGAACAACAGTTGATGGAGCGCACTCTGAAAGTACGTCAATAGAACATTGATTGCTCCATTTTAGTGGGTTCAATGCAAACATGCGCATCATGAAAATGTGTTGCGCAGTCGCCTATCTGGTGTGTACGCCTGTAGCCTCACTTAGCAGCCTGCGGAGCGGCCATTGATTAGCGTAATGATTGCGTAAACACCGAGACAGTGATGAGTACGTGAAGTTTGACGAGATTACCGCAGGCCTCGCAGGCAGATGCGCGCGTATCTGCGCCAACATGTGCCGGTTAGCTGCTCAATTACTGAGCTTGTCGGTAAGCTAACGGTAGCGCTTGCTAGAGCTGTATTGTTTATAATAAAGCATGTAAATGAAAGTCAAGACATGAAGAATATTTTGATAAACGTTCAGATTCAAATATTCATATAAAATAAAGTGTTATTTTTACTATTATAAGTAGCAGTAGTAGTAATAGTATTATACAATATCCACACATTTAAAGTGTGTCAAATGACAAAATAAGAAAAACAAGATTGAAAGTAGTTTTGCCTTTCAACCACCTCCTGGGATCATTCGGAGAGCAAAGAGAGAATATCTCAGCGCTTGTCCAGAAATGTGCTGTCGCTGTCACAATGGAGCGATGGTACTGATTCCTCCCTCGTGTGTCGTCCCCGCAGAGCTCCAGATTTTTGGGCTGGCGCTCCTACTGGGTGGTTCTTCAGGACGGCGTTCTGTCCTGGTACTCCAAACAGTAGGTGTCGTCTTTGACCTTGCTCGCCTTTTGATTAGAAAGATGGCCACAAGCGGCAGACAAGTGGAGAATCCTCAAAGTCAAGTGCCTGAAAAGTGATACTTCAGGGGAAAGTAACAGAATATAACTTTGGAAGTAGTTCAAGTCACCTTGTTGAGTCTGAATGTATCTGACATTTATTTGCCCTACCTAAGTATCAAACGTAGATTTCTGGTATTCAATATACTTGGAGCGAATATGAAGTTTACACACCCCCTAATCAAATATCAGCTTTTTGTGATATCAAGAAGTTGTAACCGAGACAAATCATTTTTCGTACATTTATGTAACCTACTACATAACCCAGCGGTGCCCAATTCGTGGCACATGTACCTCTCTGGGGGGGTGTAAAGGCATTCCAGGGGTTCCGTGAGCTTTTAAAATACATTTTAAAGCCATGTGAAAAATCCTTTAAAAATAATTGTTCAATTATGTCAATATTTCGGAAAATGAATTTGATACACAGTAGGCTAATTCATTTCATTATCCTAAAAAGCCAGAGTCACCCCCATTCCAGAATGGTTCGAGCCTACCTGTCAAATGCCGCTGAGCATCAGCTGCTAGTCTGTCTCTCTCACACACACACACACAACAGTCTGAAAGTAAATATATAATTGAAGAACACCTCAGGAAATATTTTGTCTGATTTTGTTTTGTAATGCAGATGGTATTTTACATTTGGGTAAATGTTGTGAAGTAAAACATGAAGGTTGCCCGACATGTAAATAATGACGTCAAGTACAGATATGTGAAAATTCTACTGTAGCACCGTGTCGAAGTGTCTCCACTCCGTTAGTTTTCAGGACTGTAACGAGTGGATTGGAAGATTGTTGTCAGTTGTAAAGCGTGTGCTGACTTGTCACTCTTTGGCTACTGCTGGTCCAGGTCTGATGCGGTCGCCAACATCAAGAGGCAAGGATGCAAGTCCCTCACTCACGCTCAGTTTCTGGTGAGAACTGTCCCCTGGAAATGGTCCTTTTTTTATTTGTTTTGCTCAAATTGGAGCTTCAAATAAGGGAGTTCAAATTGTAGTTTCAGACGTTGGTTATGGTTTCAAAGAGGGATGGGCAAGTGCTGATTTGGGATCAGGGCGATACCGGCCTTATTTTATGGTATTGTTTGAAAGTGCTCTATAAATACAGTTGAGTTGAGTTGAGTTGAGTATTGGGTAGTCATGGAGGCTGCCAACGGTCGGCTTTCAAATTAGAGCCTTAAGCAATGGTTAGAGTTTCAGGCCAGGGTTAGGGTTTCAAATGAGGTCTTCACGTTAGGGTTTTAAGGTTCAAAAAGGGTCAGAGTTACAAATCAGTTCTGAATGTGGGTTTCGAGCACGTGTTAGGGTTTCAGATTAGTTTACCAAAAATGGTTAGGCTTTAAAACATGGGGTAGGATTTCAAAGTAGCGTTGCAAGTCAATCTTTGGGCTACACAATGATCGTGTTTTATTGATATATAATAATAATAATAATAATAATAATAATAATAATGGTAATACTGAGCTAAAAATAATGATGGATTGTATTTTTTTGAATAAATATATATTTTTTTATACATCCATGTTTTTGTTTTTTTTCTTGATGTTTTTTTTTTTTTTTCATTTGGTGTTCAAGATGCGATCCAAAGATAAGTGCATCTTCACCCTGAAGTGCTTCGATGACAGCGTCCATTACTTCAAAGTCTCGTCCAAAAAGGAGCCCGAGGCGACAAGAAAAGTACGGTTTGATGATTCACTGGTTTTTACGCTTCCTCCGTCCCGGCTGATCAATTTACAGGCACCGCCTCCCGATAACGGCTTCTTTGTGACAACTTGAGAAGTCAAGGTCCCGCCGGTGCACGTTGTCACATCTGCGCTCACCAAAACAAACACGTATGACACAAATCACCTCGCATTTGGCCGACCCCCTTTCCAATTTGCTGTGACATTTGTCTGAGGAGGAAAAGTCAATGGCAGCCTTGTTTCTCACGCTTTGTACTCTGCTATTTACCAGCGTTGGATGTCGAAATTGTTTGTTTGTTTTTATTTTCATGTCAGAACAGGCTGACAACCAAATTGATTTCAATAGATGTACACTTGAGTGCCCGCAATTGCAAGGTTAACGTTTGAAATTGGGGTATTGAGATGAGGTTCGGAGTTTAAAAGAGCTTTTCAAGCCAGTGTTAGCGTTTCTGAGTAAGGTTTCAAATTAGGGTTTAAAGCCTGGGTTCGAGTTTCAAAATTTCAAAACAGGGTTCGTGCTTTGAAATATAATTATATTATAAAAATGTTTTCAAACAAGGTAGGTTAGAATTTTCACATTGGAGGCCAGTTTCAAATTGTGTTTCGGGCCAGGGTAGGGTTTCACTTCAGGTGAGTCTTTTGATTTTCTTCTCGTTTTGCATGTAATAAGACCCCCACCCCCCCACCCCCACCCCGCCATTGTCGACTCGCAGGCTTGGCTTGATGCTTTGGACGAGCATTCGGCCTTCAGCACACACTACTGCTCCCAGGAGCAGGACAGCTGCGAGGACGACGAAGACGAGGAAGAGGAGGAAGGCAACTCGCTGGGTCGGATCGCCGACGCCCTGCAGGTGGCAAACGCACACAAACAAACAACAGCAAACCAGCAATTACAGTCATTAGACAGACCCAATGTGGTGCGAGGATCACGCTGTGGAAAGCCCTGCACTCACAATCCCACTGGTGATTAGGTTTTTTGTCATTTTTTTGTTTTTTTTTTTGTCATGGCTTCAAGGGTTAGACTGAGGGTTTCTTCAACTTCAAGGGTTAGTCTTTTTTTTAGACTTTCAAGACACATCTTGAGTTTTGGATTATGGTTTCAAATAACGTTTCGGGTTTGAAAGTAGGATAGGACAACCAAGCCTAGATCAGAGTTTCAAAATGAAGTGTTAGGGCTTCAAATTTGGGGCCCAAATGAGGCTTTCAAAACATAAAGGTTTCAAAATCATGTTGCCGATGTTGGTTTGTCTCTGCCGATGCAGGAGGCGCAGGCGAGCCACGTCAGGCTTGAGCAGGAAGTGGAAGCTTTCCTGTCCGCCGTCAAGACTGACGGCGTGCCACAAGGTAACGACGACAACAATTTTTATTTCACATTTATTGAAATAACCCGGCAGGATATGAGCAGCCGCGCTGCGGCTATCATCTTCTGATAAGGCTGAGTGGCACTCAGACGAGAGCAGACCTCCACCAAGGGCAAGCAATCGGCATCGAGCAGATACGGGAATGCGCTGGCTAATATGCGGGAATTTAGGAAAATGCTCGCAAAAATCTGTCACCAAATTTTTTTCAATGAAGAAGTTTTCCACTAATAGCCGAGTGGCACTCGATAGAGGGCAAACCTCAGCCAAGGGTCAACCGCCCTGATTTGGAGCCGCACCAAATGAGTGACTGCAAAATGTCAGAATATACGAAATGTATGGCAAAAAAAAAAAAAAGTTTAAAATTGGTCCATTCCACTGTTGCCCCGGTTCAGTTCTCCAGGAGTTTTCCTCCTTCACGATGGAGAAGCTGCAGGCCATCCACAACCTGTCGGGAGAGACCGGTTCCTACATCGCCGTCTGTCTCGGACTGGTCTCCAAACAGGAAGTGGTGAGTTACGTCGCTACACACTTCGTTCAATATCGACAACCGACAACAAAAACTGATACAGAGAAACAATGCGTAATCACTTCTCATTCAAATGAATGGAAATGCCAATAATCTATTCCACCAGCCCATCAAACACCAACTAAATATTTTGTTGTGTGTTTTAATGCCCCTCCAAACAAAAAAAATGTTTAAAAAATTGTTTTGTACTGTCTAAAAACATATAATATTACCTGAATGAAATTAAATTACACATTATACATCGTACTTCATGTATTTTTTTGTGCGTCTCTTTCCAGTGTGCACACGTTGGCCACCAGGGGTCAGTATAATACATGCATACCTATATACTTGAAGAAAATGTCACAATAGCTCAGTATGCTGCAGTGCTATGCTAATGATGTCGCTTCAAGGGTTTTAACTAATGCTACGTTGATGCTATTTGTTATTTGTATGTGTTAGCATTAAGCTAGCCGAGGCTACGTGGTAGTTTTAAATACACATGTAATACTTCTGTTTATGTTAAGTTTAGCGCTAAGTCATGACGTTGATGCTAATTCCTTTAGCCCACCTTTGCTGTTTTGCGTTGCGTGTTAGTAGCTAGCGCAGTTTGGACGGACAAGGTGATATGGTTTTGGATTCAATACACACACACCATGTCATTTTCTTGATTCTAAGCTTAGTTTTGTAGTAAACTTCCAACTGGGCGTGCCCTCTTTTTTCCACAATATCTGGAGGTCACTATCACCCAAACCGTTTTTTTTTTTTTTGTTTTTTTTTTAATTGAGCTCTGGTGTTGTTCAGCTGTGCCTAATGAAATGTCCGTTTCAGTCTCGCTGCACACAAACACGGCTAAACCTCTGATAGTGTTTGTTTCGAGCAGATCGGCCACCATCTGCAGCGACAACGGTGTCATTCATGCCTCGTTTCCAGAGCTTGGTGTTGGGAAAGGAAAAAAAAACCAGGAATGAATTAGCTTGCTCATTAGAGACCAAACAAGCTGCCAGATCATCCAGCGGAAGAGCCGGATTGCAGCTTTCGGAGTTCTGACACCTTGGCCCGGGCCTCCTCGGCTCAGCTGGGCGAAACCTTTTCAACCGAGGCGTGCATAGGCATAAAAGGCACACAGTCCCGCCTCCTCGGATTTTCTCACAATTAGGCTGGCTCTAAGCAGAAATATGCCGAATATTCTCCATCTCGGCACCCGCATACACGACGCTGCCGAGTGTGAATGAAGCAGCGGGGTGTATATTCAAAAGATGGGGAATCATCTCCAAACCGAAAAGAAATTCACTTGTTAAAAAATGGCCTTTGTCCTCATTGAACTTCAGCATTTTTCTTGTAATATTACATATATTCAGAAAATATGTCTCCAGGCTCTTAATCTTGGGATTTTTTTCATTGAAAATGAACAGCTTTTCAAAAAAAAGCATTTTTTTTCGTTAGATTACAATTTGTCAAATATATGCAGTTTATCATCTAGAAAAGATGATTACTTCAAATTTGAATGCCTTTTAAAATTAAAAAAAATGTCCAAATATGAATCGATTCATTCTGAAAAATATAAAATATTTGATCGAAGAAAATGTCACATTCTCGTAATTTTACGGCCTTAGAATCATTTTTGAATCAGACTTGTTTTTATTATTACAACTTTTCTACTCTTAAAATGAACAGAAAAAAACCCTGCAACTTTTTCCCTTGTTTGTTCAAAATATTCAAATTTTATCTCAACAAAAACATTTTCTTCTGAAGATCCTGAGTCGTTCTAAAAACTTTACTAACTTATCTCATCAACATTTGGTTCTAGTCTTATAAACAGTCTATAAAATAAAAATAAAAAATCTGCAGCTTTTTGTGATGTCATTGCTGCCAGAAAGCAAAGCCTACGAGAGCATTTGAACTTGATTTGGAGCCAATTAGAGGCAATTAAAATGGAGGCAGGTGTTAGCTGACTCCCGTTTAACAATAATTTAAACATTTAACTTGAGTTTAAATGTGCTCTGTTCAATCGGAACGTAGTCTGACCCCTAGTTATAAAAGGGTGTGCACTCTTGTGCAACCACGTTATTTCAATTGTTTATTTTTAGTCAAATCAGGCAGTTCAACAGGGGTGAGTCGACTTTTTATGTCCACCCTACCTTTCCCTCTTTTTCCCCTCTCTTTTTGAGTGCTTGCGAGGCCTTCTTTCCCTGTTTCACCTTGTCTGAATGTTCCATATGTGGAGGATCCCAGTTTGGCCCCAATACTCCCTTACTTGTTTTCACACCATCCGGCGAGATATGTTTTGGTGGGCAAAGTGCTGCCGCGATGCTTGCTATTAGCCGGGCAGCTCTGGCTAATGCTCCGTGTGTGTCCATTACCCGTCATTTGATCTCCACTGCTGCCGATGAGTCGTGTTACCGGCGCAACGTAACGGCGGCCGCCATTACGCCTCGACGCCCTCAGATCCGTCCAGGTCTCGATGTAATGATGGCGGGTTCAGCCGTGCTACGCTCTGACCGGCTGCGGCACTTTTCTCGATGTTTGCAAAAGTGGCAGGAGTACTGGCACTCATCTTGAACAGGGTTATGAGAGGTAATGAAAACAAACAAAAGAGCTACAACAGTAATTGAAAAACAAAAAACGGGTTTTTGTGAGCGAAATAAAATCAAATCGAAAGCGCTTTTGAAAAAAAGTGAAAAATAACTGAAACTACATCTTATGTTTCCGAAAGTAACTAAAACTAAATGTAATAATACTGTTCTTCCTTTTCATCTTTGCTACTTAATATCATACATGGGCGTTCAAGGTTCATTGAAAATATATTGTACATACAGGAAAACATTCATTTGAGAATTTTATTTTACTACATTTACGACATACAATTCCTAGTGACTTTGTGTTTGTATTTTTTTTTCATCTTGCACTCGACAAATGCTCAAATTATTTAAAAAAATTACAACTAAAACTATTAAAAGCTAAACTAATATGACACACTTTCAAGATGTACAGTGGAGCCGTGGTGGTTTTCAACAACCAAACAAGTGCCCAAAGAAAGACCCAGCTTGCCTAATGTTTACGCTAATTAATGTCTACGTTGCTGGGCTTTAAGTCTTTCTGCAGTGGATTCAAGAAAGATACTTCAGCGACAACATATAGACAGACAGGGAACAGTACTCAGTCCTATATTATTTATTCTCTGCATAGAGCAGCCAATATTAATGGGGTACTGATGGGCTGAGCGATGAGTTGAAGTGAAAAAAAAAGTGTTTTTTGGATTTTATATTCAATCATATTGTTACTGGATGTTCTTTATACCGAACACAATCATAGAGAGCTGTTTGTGCTGTTAAAAAAATATGTTACAATATTTTTTTTGTTGGGTTGTTTGGAGAGGCTGGATCGGGAAAGATAATTGGCAAGGATTTTTCATTCAATGTTTGTTTTCCTCTCAGTGTATGCACGGAATACAGGATAGCGTTTCATTGTGGGTTTGCAGGTGCGTAGCATGAAATTGGAGCTGGAGGTGGAGAAGAATAAGATCCTGTCGGAAGCGCTCCAGACGCTGGCCACCGAGCACCACGAGCTGGAGCAGGTGGTCGTCAAGGGCTCCAGCGGCCTCAGCGACGATGAGTTCCACGACGCCGTGTCTGGTCAGTTTCATAGGATGAAATCTGATTTTATTCTAATATTCTGAATTTCTACTTGAAAATATGCAACTTATTATATTTTTTAAAATTTGACTTCAAATCATTTTTTTTAATTGAAAAAATGACTTGGAAAAAACACTTTGATGCAGTGTTTCTTTCTTTTTTGTGAAAATGTATCACCTTCATTGAAGAAAAATCTGAACAAATATTCTCGTCATATTACATCTTTTTTTTTTCTTGAAAATATGTGCCTTCTAACTTTATCATAGTGATCTAACTTTTTTAATCATTTGATTTAATCATATTTTATTTTTGTAAGATTGCAACCTTTTTCACATGTATCCAATTTGGTAACTTTGAAAAATCCCATTCATGCTCATCATGTTATATGTTTTCTCTTTTTTTAATAATGAGATTTTATTCATTTTCCCCACAAAGTTCTTACCAAAAAAAAAAAAAAACTGTTCCGGCAGGTTCAGACTCTGAGCTCTCTCTGAGTGGCTTTGAGACGGTGGCGAGTCGTTCCTTCGAGGAAGAGGAGGAGGAGGAGGAGGAAGGTGGCGTCATGTTTGGCAGCAGCAGCAGCAGCAGCAGTCGCCTCGACAGCATGGCGCAGGGTGATCGCCATGGCAACGACCAGCAGACGCAACCCAATGGGATCACCAAGTACAGGTCAGCGGTGCACGCTGGCGTTCCAAATGAGATGCTCAAGTCTTTCATCTCACACACACACACACGCACACACACACACACACACACACACACACACACACACACACACACACACACACACACACTCTAAATCGACCTAATTTAGGGGAATATTATGAATATATTACAGAATGAAGTCATCCATCCATTTTCTAATCCGCTTATCCTCACGAGGGTGTCGTGGGTGTGCTGGAGCCTATCCCAGCTGTCTTCGGGCAGTCGGCGGGGTGGATCAGAGACGTCATGCTCAAAATGTGTACACGGCTGCTACAAGCTAAGTTTGAAAGTAAACAAGAAACTGTGGCGTCTATTGACGAAAAAAGAGAGTGGTTCACTTCTCTTGTCCCATGTAAATCCGCTTCCAGTTCCAAGGGCCGACTCTCACGTCCAAATATGCATCCGTGCTGCACGCCGACCCTCCTCTTTCCTCATCCTCAGCCTCACCAGCCATCTATCCAGCCGCACCAGCGCAGACTGTCCAACAGTGCCAACATCTCCGTTGAACAAAACGCAGAACTTTTCTCGAAAACATACATTTTTTTTTTAGATTTAAAATGTATCTGTTCTGTAGCATTATGAATTTTTCCACAATATGCAACTTTAAAATCTCCAAATACCCGAAAAAACAAGAATTAACAGCTAACTTTATTTTTGGAATTATGATTTTTATTTATTTATTTATTTTTTGGGGGATGATTACTTTCGAAATTCCTCATCACCAACTTCGCTCCTCTTATTTATTTCAGCCACTTGGCTCTTTCCGCTTGATGCGCTGAATAATTTACGGCAGCGGTGCCCCCGAAGAGCGACACGGAAAGGACAGGTGTCTTTGTCTTAACTGTTTAAATATTGATGCGGGCTCGGCGTTAGGCGGGAATCAGTCAGCTCTGTTGACCGCTCCTTGCAGGTAGCTTTTAATGAGCCAGCTCAACATGCACATACTGTATATGCGTCATGTCAAGTCTGATGCAACAATATCCATCACAGTTATTTGGACAAATACTTGGTAGCAAGCCAGCACTGCCATAAAGACAATAACTTCAAGAAACTGCTCATGGCCTGTACGGTATATTCCTGGTTATTCTAGAAGAATTGTTGTATTTTTTTCTTCTCTGCAATTATAATAGGTGTCACATACTGTAGTATGTCCTGCTAAGCTAAAAGGACGCGTTCTCCTTTAGGCCACTTTTGTGCTGTCTCAAGGAAATCAACACCTCGATGGGACTGAACTTGAATTTCATTGAAAACAAAACAGAAGTTGTGGTGTTTAGTCCCAGTGGTCCTTGTACATCCGACCCTGTTGATTTGGGCCACCTATGGTTGTTTTTAAAAGTGCTCGACAAATGAAAGTGAGTTGAGTTGAGTTTTACGCAGATTTTCACTTTTTGCGGGCTGGCCCGGTCCCTATCCGCTGCATTAGAAACCTACATCCTCATAAAATTGCTCCGGTTACGGTTCCCTTGAGACATAGGGAGGAAATGACCCCACAAAACAGCGCTCAAGTATAAGACTGGGGAAACTTTGTCTGGAAATTGAATCACTGCTCTGGGTTTAGCAGCGGCTTCAATTGCTATTCTTTATCCTTTGACAGCGTTGCAAGAATGGGGTAGACCTGGCTGGCCCAATGGACATCCTAGGACTTATAGCAAAGCAGGCTACACATCATAGAAGCACCATCAGGTTTTGTTGCAGTGGTGTCACTCAATACATGAAAAGTCTCCTTAGCAGGCCAAGTTTTAAATAAGATAAGACGCCTCCAGCTGATGTGTGTCTGTGATGTTTAAGCAAATAAGAGCAGTCAGATGAGTCATTTTCAGTGTCAATCATCGGGGATTGTGTTGAAAGCCGAGTATTCAAGTGGAAACACTCAAATCAACTTTCTCAATCAAAATGAATGGCAGGACCATTCATCCATACTTGCCCCTGGAAAAAACAAAAAGAAATGTTTGTAACTTGATTTTTAATGAGAAAAATAATCTGTGACAGTCTTGTACTTTATTTTAAAAAAATACAGGAATCATTTAATATCACCTAAAGAATTCAAAAGTTTATGTATCGCGATTTATTGTTTTCAACGGGCCTTCTTGTCATGTGCCCTTCTCGACCACCGGGGGCAGTATATAATCCAAAGACGAAAGGCAGGTGGTGCGTTTTAGACCTGGGCCTTTGTAATGCATTTTTTTTCATAAAATAAAATACACTGAAATGAACAAAAACAATTCTGAATGAATATGATTTTTCTTCATTTTAGCACAAAAAATAAATATTCTTGTCATACAGCCGTTTCTTGAAATTGTGTGATTTAATACCCTCCCAACAATCTGATTTACCACCTGCATAGTATTCAGAAAAAAATGCACATTATGTTTTCTTTTAATGCATGTATATTATGGTTTCAGGACAAGTTTGCCTGCACCCATGTTTTCAAGAAATGACTTCAGCATTTGGAGTATTCTCAGAAACTGCATCGGAATGGTGAGAAAGTATTCTCAGCATGCAAGACAATTTATTTCATGACAGCTGTGTCCTGTATAACTTTCCTCATTTGGCCCCTGTGTAGTCTGGCTGGATTGTTTTCATCAAAGTCGACTTAAAAAGTTTTCGTGAACTAAAGACGGGCTGAAACTACCACCGACACAAATGACTGAAATGTGACTAAAACTAAGAAGCGTTTTAATCCAAAAGACAAATTTTAAGATGCCTGCCAAAAGCAACACTGCTTAATGAACCTCCCCCTCCCCGGCGTGGCTTCCAGGAGCTCTCCAAAATCACCATGCCTGTGATCTTCAACGAGCCGCTCAGCTTCTTGCAGCGCCTGACCGAATACATGGAGCACACGTGCCTTATTAGGCAAGCCAACGCTGCCATGGACTCCCTTGACAGGATGAAGGTAAAGAAGATCCCAAAACATACGAGCCCAGTCAGCAAAATAAACAGAATGCTGATTGCTCAACCTTTCTTGTCAGTCCGTAGCGGCCTTTGTGGTGTCTGCGGTGGCATCGCAATGGGAGAGGACGGGCAAGCCCTTCAACCCGCTGCTCGGAGAAACCTACGAATTGGTCAGGTGAGGGGGAAATCAATGCAGTCCTTGAATCCGATGTTTCCCACCCTTTTTTGAGCCAAGGAACACATTTTACATTCAAACAATCTCATACTAAACCGTCAAATAAAAATAGCACCGCTGTTGTTTGAAGGTTTTTAATCACCCTCTATGGCAGTTCACATTATATGTTAGCATTAAGCTAGCAGACTTTCACCATCTGAGTTGTTTGAACATTTTGGTGTTTAAATATACAATATTAAATTTGCGGTTGCAGAATAGAATCACTTTTGCATCTATGTTAATTCATATTAGCATGCCTATGGCGCTTCACATGATATGTTAGCATTAAAGCTTGGACGTATGCTATCTCCGTTGTTTGAACATTTTGGTATTTAAAAATGTACATTTTAATTTTCTTTTGTTTTGTGTCAATTTTACAGGAAATTTCAACTAAGATTGACCAAAAAAAAAAAAAAAACAACAGATTGTGCCTCTTATTGAGAGAGCTTTTTGATTCCTCAAAGTGATGTTAAGAACCATTTCTTGATCGCGAGAGTGATAGCAGGCTCTCAGGAATACCTTTCAAAGTGTGTTTTAGTAAGTTTAAATGTGTTTTACGTGTGTGGAAAAAGTCCATTTAGTTTTAAAATGTTTTTATCGTCACAATATTTTTTACTTATCGCGGGTGGTTCGGAAACATACTTATTCACAAAGTCAAGTTGAATTTTCCTGTGGAGTCTTTTTCCTCAGCAAAACTCAAGTCCTAAAATTAAGTGGGATTCATGTCGCATATGACTGGAGTAAGCCCTCCGTCTGAGAATCACTACTTGAATGTCATCAATCCAGGGAGGACCTGGGTTTCCGGCTCGTATCGGAGCAGGTGAGCCACCACCCTCCCATCAGCGCCTTCCACGCCGAGGGCCTCCGGCAGGACTTTGTCTTCCACGGCTCCATCTACCCCAAACTCAAGTTCTGGGGGAAGAGTATGCAAGCCGAGCCTCAAGGAATCCTCACGTTGGAGCTGCCCGAGTGAGGACGGCTAAAATTCACCACCGCGTCCTTTCGCTTCCTAACGTGACATTAAAAGGCTTTGGTTTGCTGCACAGGCACAACGAAGCGTACACATGGACCAACCCCACGTGCTGCGTGCACAACATCATCGTGGGCCAGCTGTGGATTGAGCAGTATGGATGTGTGGAGGTGATCAACCACAAGTAAGTAGATCTGTGTCAGTACTGATTCAGAGATGCGATTGCTATTGCTATTGCTAATGCTAACCACAGCAGCGGCTGAACAGTGAATGAAAGTACCGGCCACCGTTTACGCCCTGGAGGCGTTTTGCTCTTTGCGTCTGTGTGTTTTATGCAGAACTGGCGAAAAATGCTGCCTCAACTTCAAGCCATGTGGTTTTTTTGGCAAAGAACTGCACAAAGTTGAAGGCTACATATTGGACAAAAGGTACACAGACATGAATCAATGTTTGATAGTGAATATAAAAAGCAGACACGCGCCTGCCTTATGTACATAGAGTGTTGTGACAACTGACTAGTTTCCGCCATTTTTTGTGCGATCGTGTCGCGCAGTTATACACATATACGAATGCATACATACATTTACATTGTATTTATTGGGAAAAAAATGACTTTGTTATCATAATATTGCAACTTTGAAGGCGAAAATCTAACTTTCTATCTTTGAAAAAAATTACCTCTATATTTGCAGATTCTAACTTAACTTCCTATAACATACGAGGTTTTGAACTTTTTTTAAAACTCAACTGTCACGCAAACCAGTGTCTAAATGAATGTGGAACAGCTTGCTGTTTAATTGCCGCCATTTGTCAACATCCAAAATCCTTTTCATCGTCTTTTTTAATCACACTTTATCATTCCTCGTGTACTTTCGTTATTTACGAACCCTTGTGCATCGTTGGGGAAGTGCCGTCGTCATCACTCTCGCTTTCAAGTGATTCAGATTAAAGACTTTGCAGCGAATCCAACTGGTGCTTATTAAAAGCGAATCCAAATATCCTCATGCTCCATTTTATTTCTGAGCCGACGTGATTGAATGTGCTTTAAGTATACTTAACTGAAATCATTTGCAAATCAAAACCGGCAGCGTGAAGTGCTTTGGCTGGACTCCAACCCATATTATTAATTAACGCACAATTAGTCAATCATTTGACTTGAGACACGGCTCTCCAACGTCACGATCTGAATTCAATTTCGCGACTGCAAGAAAAGCAGCCAAGTGGGATTAAAAGAGGAAAGTGAGAGTTACGCGGAGCACATGGCGCGCTGGAGAATGCGAGATTAAAATGCAACGTTTTGGGGGGGGTTTGTTGAGCAATTAAAGCCGTCGACTGTGATATCACCGCCGAATGCGTAAATCTGCGATATTCCTTGGTAAGAGGCGAGGCGTACACATGCTGACACGCCCGGGCAACAAAGGCTGATAAAGACACATGTGTTGTGTTCACTCGTCACTGACTAGCAAGCAAAATTCTCACCTTGTTTGGAAAAAGAAGACAAACTATTTATGTTGCATTTTTCTTAAAAAGGGAAAAAAAAAAGATATTGATGTCGCACCTTCCTGGAAAGAAGCACAGAACTATTTATGTAGTTGCCCAAAAAGAAGACAAACTACTGATTTTACAGCTTATGAAAAAGAAGAAGATCTCAGTCAAAAATAAGAGAAACCATGACCATAAATTTGCGCTTGTCGTAAAAATAGCAACTGTTGATGTTGGACTTTTGCAAAAAGAAGACTAAACTATTCATTTTGCATCCTCCGAAGGAAAAGATAAACGATGGATGTTGCATTATTAATGGTGCTTGCTGTTTAAAAAAAAAAAAGACAACCTATTGATGTTGTACTTTGCTAAAAAGAAGACAAACCATTCCTCATTCACTCTCTTAAGATGAAGAAAAACTATTGCTGTCACATCTTCCCAACAAGAAGTAACCTGTTTATTTATTCAACCAAAAAGAAGAGAGACTACTGATTTTGCGCTTCACTCAAAAGAAAACAAACAATTGATGTTGCAATTTCTTAAAAAGAAAAGATAACTATTGATGTTGCATTGTTGTTCAAAAAACAAACAAAAAAAGACAAACAGTTCATGTTATGCCTGGCGAAATGTTGCACTTTCCTAAAATGAAGAAAAACTCTTTACTTTGTTCCTAACAAGAAGATGAGCGCAATTAAAATTCATAATAGGAAAGGTAGGCAAGTAGGTATAAAAAGGAAAGAAACAAAAACAGAGAAGCAGATGGTTGATTGGGAAAGGCCAAAACAGCTGGGTTTTATTATTTGCTTATTATTCTTTATTTTTTTTCTCGGCACTTAACCCAGTTGACCGTGAGACCGCTACCGATCGTGCATTTGGCGACATTCCTTGTCGAGAGCCACAAATGCTGATAACGACAGTTACCTTGCGTTATCTTGCCACCGCCGAGCAAGTAAAATAAGCAAAAAGAATGACTTTGGCCGCGTGTGCTTTCATTTTGCGCCCAAAAGCAAAAAGAAGCTGTGCGCGCTGTACGGCAAGTGGACCGAGTGCTTGTACGTCATCGATCCTGCTACCCTGGAGGCTCACAGGAAAAGCGACAGGAAAGGAGAAGAAGGCAAAAACACCAGCAGAAAGGTACAGTAACGACTCCGCAATGCACTACTGTGACCCGCATACGATCAGAAAAAGCCTTGAGTGCCTGCACAGGCCATGATTGAGGTCACATGTTAATGTTTGTAAGTGTAAATGAGTGTTTCTGTTAAAAAAATAATTAAAAAAGTGGAGCTCGGCTAGCAGACGATCTACTGATGTTGCACTTTCACAAAAAGAAGACAAACAATTGGTGTTGTACTTTCTCAAAAAAAAAAAAAGACAACGGATCATGTTGTGTGTTCTTAAAAAGAAGACAAAATACTGCAGTTGCACCACAGGTTGACAGGTGACTGCTTTAAGAAGGGTAACCCCTTGAGAGGCCCCATCAAATTTTCGAGGGGGTCCTTTCAACGCACAAATAATGATAATTTTCAACGCACAAATAATGATAAGATGCAAAATAATGATCACAAATTCAAAAATAATGATAGTATGCAAACTAATGATGAGAAATTAATCCAGAACTATGCAGAACAAACACAGACATACTTATACCAAACGCGCTCACAAACCCACTTTCCTAAAAATAGGGCAGAGTATTGATTTGCACTTCCCTAAAAAGAAGACAAATTACAGACCGTGCATTCCTAAAGTGAAGACAACTTATTACTGTACTTGCCTAAAAAGAAGATAAACTCTTGATTTGCACTTGCCTAAAAAGTAGAAAGGCAACTGATATAATTAAAAAAAGAAAGAAAGAAAGAGGCAAACTGTTGAAGTTGTGCTTTCTGAAAGAGAAAACTATTTCTTATCACTTTGCTACAAAAAAAGACTATCTATCTTAAAAAGTTGCAATTTCCTCAAAAGAGGACCCTCTATTGATTTGCACATCCCCAAAAACAAAGACAAACTGCTGTTGTCGTCCTTTGCTAAAAAGAAGACCACCTCTTACTGCACTTTGTCAAGACATGGAGTTAAACTCTGTCACACTTGAATGGATGTCATGTCAAAAGTGTACGCCTGCTGCCCCATGTGCAGGGTGACACCGAGGAGGACGTTCACTCTCAAGCACCCGACAGTGTGGACGTGATTCCCGGCAGCCAGCTACTGTGGAGGATCGCCCCCCGGCCGGCCAATTCACCCCAGGTGGGTTTAGAAAACGCAACCGAGAGCCCCCGTAAAGACAGGAGAAGCATGTTCTTATTAGTTTTAGTTTTAGTTTGAGTTTATATAGATATGGAGTGCTTGTTTAGTGCAAAAGGAACCCTTTCAGGGTCAGCGGTTAATACAGTGGACAGTTTATCATGTTATCAGGTTACAGGGTTCATGATAGGGTTAAAAAAAAAGGTCTCTGCAAGTAATATGGAATAGGATGATGTAAACTACAATTCCCAAACAAATTTCTTAATACTGTACAACGAATGAATGAAATGAATTGATAAAGACCAAAAAAAAAGGACATTTTAGCTATCATTATAGGTAGCAAGACTTCTCCAACCTAAAATGGCGTTTTTTTTGTAAAGTATTCTCTTTTTAATTTTATTTTGTGAACAAAAATGTGTTTTCACCATTTGTTTGAGTTGTTTCGTCAGTTTTCGTTATCTTTGATAACGCCATACCTTGAACAACAGCCCTTGAATCCAATTTACCCCCTCGCAGATGTACAGCTTCACGTCCTTCGCCATGCAGCTGAATGAGCTGCATGAGGACATGGAGGGCATCCTTCCTCGCACGGACTGCAGGATGAGGCCCGACATTCGAGCCATGGAGAACGGCGACATCGGTAACGATTCAATCGGACTCGTCTGTTCGGCAGTAAAACTGACGCAGTGGTGTCGACAATGTAAAGTATGAAGTGGACATTTATGGTGACGGTAATCATTCAGCAGATGGTGCATTTGTGACACGCTTCATGGATGTGACATTATTTCATAATGACGCCGGAGAGCAATCGTCTCATTTCCCCAAAACATTTCTACCTCCTCCCTCCTGGCTCCTTTGTCGATCTGTGTGTCTGTGTGTTTTGTACGCTCTCTTTTTAACATCAAGTGACATCTTGTCATTTCACAACTGTCACACTTTTGTAAAAAGCCCAGCTATGTATTTGCACTTTCCAAAAAAAAATACAAAAGGCTGATGTTGCATTTTCCGAAAAAATACTGTTGTTGTACTTAACTATCGATGTTGCATTTTTATATTAATAAAAACAAATAAATAATCCAATTTGCACTTTCCAAAAAAGAAGACAAACTGCAGATGTTACACTCTCCTCAAAAGATGACAAATATTGATGTTGCTCTTTCCTAAAAAGAAGACATTTGGGAGAGGCATATGTTTTAAAAACAATTGCGTTTTTAAAAGCTACTCAAAGGAAATGTTCAATGCAAACTTTTTTTATGTTATGTTATGCGCGATACATTTCTAATTCAGTCATTATGTTAAATATCCTTTTCTAGAATGTAACCTCTTCCTCGTTTTTGGTGAACCCTTAGGCCTACTACGCTACGGCATTTTCAGCTTGGTCATGACGGAAGTGCAATTTTTTTATTGTTGTGTTTTGTTTTTTTAAGGTATTACTTGGTACAAAAAAAGAATTGTTTCCCACTGGTTTATGGCATTCTTACTTTTGTTATTGTTCCCATAGACTTGGCCAGCGAGGAGAAGAAAAGACTGGAGGAGAAGCAGAGGGCCGCCCGCAAGAAAATCTCCAAATCGAATGACGAGTGGAAGACGAGGTGAGTTTGTTGAATGAATTTTTCTGCTCGGAATGGCTCCACTTCACAGGCACGCTGTAATTCATGCGAAGTCTTTCATTTGGAGCCTAAACGGACACTGGCCATCTTTGTTAGTGACAAGACAGATCGGCCGGAGTCCATGTCCTCATCTTTTTGACAAATCGGGCCATAATTGATCGTTGGTATTCACAATGCCCACTGTCGTTTGTCTCTGTTTAATGTGCTAAGATGAGCGGCCATTTTGTGTTAATTACTCCCAGTGGAAGCGTCTTTGGAGGAGTACTTTTTGGCAATGTGCTCCTTTCGCTTTCTTCCTCGTGCCGGAGCTGTATGAAAAGGTTAATTATGCTCTCGGGGGCTCAAATATGATACTTCATCCAGGAGATTGTTTGTGTAGCTCGCAAAGAAGGGCGTAGCTAGCCTTTAGCGCTCAAACTTATATAACAAAGTTATTCCAGACAGAAAAAGTTTCACGGTCAATAAATGGGTTATCAAGCCACATACACACATATAGCATCGTTTCTAAAATAGATGCCTAGAAGTGCAATTAGTCAGTTGACAGACTATTGATGATTATCCTTTGACGGATTAATGAAGTATATATACTGTATTTAATCAATCACTCCATCTCACAATTATATTAGACATGGCTTTGGCCGAGGGCGGAACACTTTTGAACAATAGTCTAAATTATACATTTCTTCAATATTGCGATTTATTGTATTCTTTTTTTCAACGTCGTCTAGCAAATCAGTTTTTTGTGATAATTTCATTGTTTGTTTTGAAGTTTGACTTGTGCTGTTTTTAACGGATTTTACCAGCCGTTGTAATTTATAGTCATGACATTTCAGAAATTTTTTTTTCACTTGTTGCTGAATCGAAACACTACTAAATATATTGCTGTATTACATTTCATATCAATGTTGTTATTATTATTATTATTATGATTATTATTATGAAAATGTTATGGGCCAGACGGCAAAAAAAACAATGACATCAAAATCAGTGCGAAGAACTCGGCTAGAAACGTTTACAGTACTTACGTCTCTGATTTCCAATTTGAAATTAATTTGAAAGTGTTTATTTACCCAATTGAAGTAGAGCTGTTAACTTACAAAGCATTTTGTCGACTCTGACGTGCAGCGTTCGATTTGACAACTTCGCGAAATTTTTACCGAATGTCTATATTTTATTTTTAATTCTTAACTAAATTGGGATATAGCACCAATAAGCTGTCAATGCCACAAGATATCAGCAAAGCACTATTTTTCTTTTAGACACAGCTATGGCCTGTAAAAAAATGAAGCTCCCCTCCTTAATTCAACATGTCTACTTTTTGTTTTTCACATCAGGGCTTGATCCTGCAAATAGTGAGTGTTGACTCTCAAGCTTTCCTCCAGTTTGTTGCTTCAAACGCTTGTGCTAAATGGATGTTTATTTCTCCTTCCTTGTCTGTTTTTACACTCGCGCACTTGGCCCAAGGTTAGACTTTGGCGACTACGTGCTCGACATGCGCGATGGGATATCACCAGAAATAATTGAAAGAAAAGCCTTTCATATCCTCCGCGCTGAGATATCATCTTGAAATGTGTCCCCCTCTCTTGTTGCGATGGGTTCCATCGGGGGAGGGATGGGGGGGCAACGATGTGCTTTTATCACTCATCCGCTCTACTTTTCATCCAGTTATCCATGTCCCCTTCCTTCTTTCGACAATATTCTTCCTATGCTTGCGTGTTTTAAATCAGGGACCGTCGGTTCTGCATTTTTTTGATGCTGAAAAAAAATACTGATTGATAATTAATAACAGTGGGCGTCGGTTCCACGTGGATTTTCGCTATTCGTGAGCTGGCCTGACCCTTATTCATCGTAAATAGTGGGGGCCAACTGTAAAATATAAGTATCGCGATACACACATGATTGATTGGTATCAATAGAAAATGCCTTTGATTAAAAAGTTTGATAGAACAAAATCAGGACGCAACCGCAGATCTGGGCATTGTGCACATTGTAGGCACCATGCTCCAAAAATTCTCTTCCAAAAATCTTGCCGGCGAGTGTGTAAAAAACAGCAAGGTGGATCACGCTCAGGAGTGCGTATGTATAAGTGGGTTGGATATTCTTGGTGAGGGCATGCGTAACAGCGGGCTGGATTTCGCCGGCTAGTGTGTGTCTTAACTTCTCGACAGTGAGTGTATGTACACTGTCTAACGGTGGTTTGAATCTTGTCAGCGGGTGCTTGTCTAACAACAGGCTGGATTCCACTGGCGGGTGTGCACAAAACAGCAAGATGGAGCTCGCCGGCGAGTGTGCGCGTAACAGTGAGATCGATCTCTCTGGCAAATTTCTTCGATCTCACTGGTGTGGGCGTGCAATGCAATGGAGTGGATCTCGCCAGCAAGTGCGAGCATAGCAATGGGCTGCATCACACTCCGACGATTGTGCGTGTTCGGTCCAGTATTTGGCCATTTCACTCGATGGGCTGGCTCTTATCGTCCCGCCAGCGAGTATGTTCGCAGCAGCAGGTTGGATCTCGCTTGTAAGTGCGTGCATGACACTGGGTTGGCTCTCGCTTCAAGGTGGCTCTGGATCTTCCAAGCTGTTATGCACAAGGGGCTCACTAAGTGAAATGTCTTGATAAATAGCAAACAGAAAATTGACTTGGTTGTGTAATTTTACACTTGGATGGGTGGGCATGAATTCACAACTATTTAGATACAAGCAATTATAAAGTCCATTTTTCATTCCATGTCGTGAGTCTTACTGCTCGTCTGCTTGTGTTGGTTGTCAGGTGGTTCCAGCTGGGCCCCAATCCCCACACCGGCTCGCAGGACTGGATCTTCACTGGCGGATACTGGGACAGGACGTACCCTCAGCTACCAGACATTTACTAGAATTCTCCACAAGCAATGCGCACACATGCACTGTGGCCTTAAACTGCTTTGACATTCTCGAGGTGCGCGTTATAAATGTCAGTATCTCTGGGGTTTTTAAACAAACGTTCATCACCGTCGACTTTTAGCTCACACGTGTGCGTCAGTGTGTGTATTGTTTTTAATAGGCTGCTATCTAAATATTTGTAAAATTGCTGAAGTTCTTGTTTGTGTGTACAATATAAACCCACGCTGAGCCGTCAACGACCTCATCGCAATTTGCTAAGATGCAAAAAAAATCATGTTACTTTTCCATCTATAGAAAAAGGGGGAACCAGAGCAATATCCACGATTGTTACTATTGACACTAAATGGTCACTTTTTTAGGTATACCTGTAAAAATCAAAGGACAGCAAATAAATTAACTGTATTCAAAAGCGTCCTGGGCTCTTTGCTGGCCAATTTTTGCCACCTCACTTCATTTCTTTGAACTATTTTAGTTATTACATATGGAATGAAAGTTCCCAAGGGTGGGTTTTCCCTTTTCACGTTTTTCCCCACTTCAGCTCTTTAATTTTATCAATTTTATACTGGTGACATTAAATTGTAAGTTGTGACGATTTTTGGCCAATGTAAACCGATGCAAACCTTTTTTGTTTTAATTCTTTTTTATTTACTGGGTCAAATCAGACAATTTGCCGCAAATGGGTTTTATTCTACATGCCATAGTTGAAATGTTTCGTACCAGATGACATAATTTATCAATTTTCGGGTAATATGTGTGACAGATGGAACACTGGATGAAAGACGGCTTGAAGTTTTGTGTGTTGGCAGAGCGCAGAAGTGAAGTTTGATAACTTGCCATAAAATATGAAACTCTGAGAACTCCACAAGGTCAGTGCAAAACCGGCCATCTGGAAAATTCAGTCCCTGAAGCCACTTTGATTCACCAGCATGACATTTTGTAGGCATCGTTATCATGAGTGGACCCACAAAAAGTCTCAATAATCCATGGCCAAGAAGACACGGGAAGTCCGCTATTTTGGTGTGAAGCAGCCATTTAAGGCACCATTTGCAGGTGTCCTTCAAAGACAGACTTGACCTGAAGATTTTGTTCGACAGCGAGCAAAATTCTACTTCTCTCTACTACGCACACAGGAAACGCTTCATTGCAAACAATCTGCCTTTTTTTTTTTTTTTTTTTTGTCATTGCACATGGATGCCGAGTTTTGATGCCTCACCATACAATGCAAAATTCTTAAACTGTAAATTGGCTCCACAAGGTCACAAATATATACTTTACACTTAAATGTGCCCCTTGTAAACGACACATTCAGATTGAGTCTCATTCCAGTTGTTTGTGTTATGCAGTATTTGAGATGGAATTTGTTCAGTCAGTGGCCCCAGCGAATCCATCCATCCATCCATTTTCTAATCCGCGTATCCTCACGAGGGTCGCAGGTGTACTGGAGCCTATTCGAGCTGACTTTGGGTATTAGGCGGGGAGCCACCTGAACTGCTTGCCATCCAATGGCAGGGCACACATAGACGAACATCAAGGCACCACTGTATCTAGTTACGACAAATCACGTCATCTTTTTTTCATCTACGACAAATATGACATTTATTCAGCGACATGTAGTAATCGACAAAACAAATCTTCCACGAGATGAAAGTCGGAACATATTGTAATTAACTACTGTATACCAATCATTATTTCAGTATACTGTATATGCTTTTGTGTACTGATATTTTTCTAATGGACAATCCATGCCCCGGCTCAATAAAAGCTTGGGAAACATCAAACGTGACAGCCAACGACACTTGCTGCCACGGCTTCCTCTCAGTGGGCGGGACATTCTTTGACGTCCACCAGGCCGAGCACCCTGACCACCCTCGTCTCAAATGCAACGTGCCTGCCGTTTATGATCACGTTTCTCAGGCAGCCGATGTACGGCGAAGTCAGGGGGGCACCAAGAAAATCTGTGGCCCCTGCAAAAAAAAATATAAATAATAATAAAAATAATACATCCATCTCCTGTGGTCTCTTTTTGAAAACCGTGGTGTGATTTCTTACCTCCTACGTGAAGTAATGCTTGCGTCATAGAGGAGGGAAATGATGCGAAGGATCCTGCCTTCTTTTCAGACGCGGCGTCCACCATTAGCGTGAGGTCTTTTTGTCCTGTGGAAACTGAGCAACAAAGGGAACAAGCAGAATATAAAGATTTAAACGACATTATTTCATGCTTGAACTCAATGGACATTGTGCTGCTCCTTCTGGTGTGTGAGTCTTGGCCACCAAGGGGCAATTTTGTTCAAATTTTCATTATTTGAAGATTTATAGGTAATGCGACATCAATGCTAGTTTTCTAGGCCTGTCTAGTTATGTTTTATATTATGGGTTAGCATTAAGCTTGCAGACTGGCAAAAATTTGGTTAAATACAAAATTGTAATTCTCGTGGTTTTTATGTTTTGCCAGGGCAACAAGGAGGCGACTCAAAACAAACGATTTCCAATCATGAGTGAAGAATACCCGTAATCACATGAAATTCCCCATCGCAGAGGTTCTGTGGAGTCAGCGCGACGCTGACACTGCCGCCACCATCGTTCACAGCGACGCCCACCTGCAAGATCGCAAAGTCACTCAACTGACCCCCATCTTCTTCTTTAATTAAATGGGACGTCATCCAAGAGGGAAAGGTCACCGTGTTGTTAATTAAGAACACGTCGAAGCTGGTTTTGTGGCCTCGTGCGTGGAAGAGAAGGCCGGTCAGGCGACGGGGTCGCAGCTCGAAGGTCAACGCAAAGTGATCACCCACTGCAAAGGAATTGTCTAGGAGAAGAACACATACCTCTATGCGATTCTCTGTCAGGTAAATTATGTCGGAAGATTTATCCTAGGGGTGGGCAAAAAAAGAAAAAAAAAACACGGGCCACATACGGTACCCATTTCATTCTTTGATCCAGCCTATCATGTTTCCATTCAACCATTTTCTATACCACTTATCCTCATTCGTGTCAAGAGTCAGCTGAAGCGAGGCACATATAGACAAACAATAAAGGTGTAACAAAAACCAATTTGACTCAGAAAATCGGTTTGGGTGTAAAAGCTGTGAGTGCATTCACTTGAACAACCTGTACCGTCAATCAGATCGCATCCAATGTATGAAGGTACATAACAATACAGCTAAGGAATATGTTTTTCAAAATGAAGCTCCTCAACTCACGACAGTAACAAAATGTCACCAGATGATGCAAAATCTGAAATGTGGCTCTTGAACCCAAAAGTTTGCCCATCCCTAATTTACGGCATCAAACCTAATAAGACGACATGACCGCCGCCAAAGTACGCCCCCCTCTCCGTTAGGCCATCCGAGCAGGGCGACACCGCGCGGGCCCCTTCAGGTTTGCCCACCGGCTGATTGTTCATTCTGAAGTCCCTCACACAGCCTGAGATGCTCTTCAAGAGAATTGTAGGCCCCTGTGGAAGGACATGAGCCACATGTAACAAAAAAACAAAAACAAAAATATGTGACATAGCTTGACACGGACTTCAGTAGCCCCTGGATGACCCCCGAGGTAGACAAGGTCATGGAAGTTTAAGGACGAGCCCTCCTCATTGGGCAAATGGCCGTCAGTCACGCGGACGCCATCTACCAGAAGATGGAACGTGTTCCTCTCGACACTGCACTCCACCTGCCCAAAACAAACATCACTAAAGACATCATTGGGTAAGGCCACAGCCGTAATGGGGCATAAATGCTAGAATTGCATTTTGTTAGCTCCCAAATTTAGCAAACTAATAGCTCGCAGAAATGCTATGAGCTAAATGAATAAAATATAATAATGGCCACAGAAAATATTGATTTGCTGGGTTCTAAGTTGTTTCAATTTCACGCTCATCCAACTTTTGTCGCGGGGGTTACAGCTGAAAAAAAGGCTAACTCGGTAACAATGCGCAAGGACTAGAATGCTAGCTAGGTAGCTCCCACCCATAGTAACAGTGCATTAGAGAGCCATAACCTGTCCGATTTTCTTCACATATATTATTTCTTTGTTTTCGATTTTAAGTTATTTAATCATGGTTATCGTAGTCTAAACATTTTAAGAAGGTTGCAGCCTACAAAAGGCTGAAATAATGGGGCACATTTGGTATTATTCCTAGAAGTTAGCTGTTAGCTGCCATTTATAGCAACCTACTACCCTAACAAACGCTATACTGCTACTAAGTATATTATTTTAATGAGTAATGGCTTATTAAAACACCTTCATGGCCAAGAGTTTGGAATTTTATCTTTATTTTTCCAGGCTACAAATGGCAAATGCCAGTTCGTATATTCCCACCTAGTTACTAGTGTAATGAATGCTATTAGCAAATTATGTCATTTTCTGGGTTTGAATTGAACTTTATCAATTTCACAAGCCTGTCCAGTTCGTTTTTTTTTCTTCAATTTGTATCACAAACTCTAAGGTTAGCAGGAGCTATAGCAAACATCTTGAGGTTACAATTGCTCGAGCAGATTTTGCAGTCCATTTACTCTGTGCCAGTGTCCATCGTTTGTCTTCAGCTTGTGGTGGATGACTCTGCTCGGCCCAAGTGACATCTTAATCTTGCCGTTTGTCACGTACAGAGCTAGCAGGGGCACCGGCCCTGTGCCCTCAACAAAGAGGATGAGACCCTTGGAGGACTTGGTTTTGACATCCAGAGAGAAGTGAGGCCTGAGTCGATAACAAAAAGTTTTGTTAATAAATGTCAGACAATTCATACATCTTGAAAACATCTGTACTTGATATTTTATATTTATTTTATATATCCAATACAGAAAATTGATGAGGATATTCTTGGGCCCGGTCAAAATTCCACTCGGATGTGTGCAAGGAAAATGAACAGTATGTAAGGGTCACTGTGAGCCACCCTGTCAGCAGCCCCGTGGCTTCATGATCACAACAGCATGTGGTTCCTGTTCTCGGACCGGAGAGGATTACTTTCGAATGTGACATCACCTGTAATTAAGGTCCTGCTGGGGTAGCTTGTACGCCAGCCAGCTGTCTCTCTGCGAGAACTCGTAGCCGCGGCGGGGCACTCGCTGACGTGCGCACTCGTCGTCTGTTTGTTCCGCGGTCTGACACGACACACAAGTGACGAGTGTGTAACAAAATGGAAACTGTAATTAGCTCGGAAAATTGGATGTCATATGCAATGATGAGACCAAATACCAAAGTAATTCAGCGAATATAAAGTCTCGGCACAATTTTTTTTCATGATATATAAAAAAAAAATGAGAACAAGACAAGTCATTTCAAAACTTTTTCCTCCCTTAGTGTGACCCGTACATTGTTCCAATAAAATGAAAACAATTATTTCAGAGAAGGAAAGTGATTGTAAACAATTCAGATGTGTTTGCACAAGTGTGCACATCGTCTTCTAAGTGGGAACGCGACTGTGTTCAGATTTCCACTAAGACATTGAAACTGATGTTAAATGACAGTCAGCACATTTGTACCAATCGATAATCCCCAAATAAAGTTCAGATGTTCTACTAGACTTCCTGACATTGTTTTTGCTTTCTAGTAGAGATGTTTTTCAGTTCAGTACCAGTACAAGTACTCATGGTTTGACAACTTACCAACACCAAGTACTAAGACTTTTGATAGATAAAAAATTCATTCATAACACATTGACAAGAAAAATCTATAAGCTATTTAATTTTTCAGAGCATTGGTGTAAAATGAGTTTGGAAAACAAGACTTGGTTGTTCACAGACCACTTTTTGTATACATATTAAAAAAAGTAAATTTTATATAATGTGCCCTCTTTAAATGTCAGACTACCAAACTCAACGCTGCCAGAAAAAAAACTTCATCGCGTTGGCATTTATGAATCCAAAAATGAACAACCGAAAAGGAAAAGACTTACTTGTCTGAGCATCTGGAGCTGCCTGCTCACATCTGTGGGTAAACGTCCAGTTTGCGTGGGTGAGCTGAGACGGCAATGACCCAGGCCGACACCTCCCGTAGGCGGGAGAGAACTCAAATCCACGGGTGTAAAGCTCCGCGCCGTTCTATGTAAAGTTTTGGATTTTTAAGAGCCATAATTGCAACAGAAAGACAGAGCAGTAAATATTATATACGGGAAAAAATATATGGATTCCCCCCCAACACACTCACTGGGTAGCTTTGGATGTTGAGCGAATTGGGTTACTTTCACCCAAAGTTGGGTTAATTGTTTTGATCCAGCAGATTGGGTTGAACATTGGTCAACTCTTCATCCCAATATGCTGGGTATAAATAACCCAACATGGTGTCATTCCCTTATGGACCCTTCGCCGGGTTAGCCATTTCACAGAGTTTGGGTTACTTTTAACCCAGCGGTTAGAAGAGTGGAGACGACAAAGAGTCCAAACCTGGAGTAAAGGTTGGTAATGCAGCCTTTGAATTCTTGTCCCTGGTTCACCTCTGGCTCCCGTTTTAATGTGTGGAGGGCGATGTCTACGTTGTCAACTTTGACCTCCAGCCTGACAACGTAGCGTCATTAGTCAACTGCATCTTGATAATATGCATGAATTACTTCTCACTGCCCTCAGTCTCCACTTAGATAAAAAGTTATCTGCTTCGTGATTACAGGCTCTCCATAGTCTTCACTATGCTACAGTGTTCCTTTTCACTCATGCGCACGTTGCCCAACACTCGACAGTATCCACTTTGCAGAACCAGCCAGTCTCCTCGCACATAAAGCCACTCTTTTTAATGAATACAGCAGAGCCCAATAATCCTCTGCCAGAAATGACCACGGTTTAAGATTTCTCAAGTCCTGATACCTCTAGGAAAAAATAAAAATTAGGATATTGGTCAGTTGAGACTTGAAAGCAGTACCTCGGCGTCTGCGCCACACACACGTAGTGCCATCTCCCGTCGTCGTATCTTTCTGCTGAAATTACATTGTGATGCCCCAGGCTAAGTTGCAGGAAGCCGTCGGCCAGAGAAATGTGACCTCGGGAGGAGCTCTGTGGAATACACACAGGAAAATATTCATGGAATCATCTGGAGGAAAGAAGACACTTTTATTTATTTATTTATGCATTCATTTATGGATTCATTTATTTATTCATTTTTCTCCCCCCCTAAGGTTTTACCTGAGAGCCGCTCCTGAGGATAACGCCGTGTTTGTGCTTGCTCCTGAATCCTAGAGCCAAGTGTTGTTGGTCCGGTGCAAAAAGCCAGTCAGCCGAAAGAGGCGAATGCAAAGTGGCTGTGCGAACTCCCTGCATCAAGGACATAAAACGGGATATCAAATTGCTAGTGTTTTGATTTTTATTTTGTCTTTCATAATTTTTTTGGATTGGTCAGTCAGGTTTGGGGTAGTAGCAGTTACACTGACGAGCATTGTGTTAAAATTGTGAAAAACACCAGACATGCTAACAAACACCTCGTGCAGAAAATGTGGCAAGAGAACGCCGGACTCTTGTTTTCACTTCTCGGAATGTGACTAGGTAAGAAGTCCAGTCTTATCCAAGAGGAGACTAAGGGCATCAGCAAAATTTAGTGCTGCAGCAAAGTAGAGACTGTGGAGAACCTATATTTATGAAGGAGACCACTTTGATCTGAGATCAACAAGAAAATGAAGCGTGACAGTGAGAGAGGTCACAGTTTCAACTTTGCTGCAGCAGTCCAGTTTCTTGCTGCCCCCAGTTTCCTTCCAGGAAAAGGAGGGTTACCTTTGTCAATATAGTTACTCCAGTTTGCTGTACCACTCAATTTTCTCCCTGCGCTCTGTCTCCTCTCTGATAAAATGTGTTCCGTCACTTTAATACAGGGCACTCCACAGTCTCCACTTGGTTGCAGTTTTGTCTAATACGCACCCTAAATGTGTATGCATGACGGTGCCATTGGTGTGACATGGAATCTTCCTCAAGTTGTCAGTGGATGATGAGTGTCGGGCATGCTGGGGCGACGTTTCGCCAATTGTGCAACAACAATGGTCGCTTGTTTACCAGCAGTCCAAAGGGACAAGCATCGCTGACGCCAACTGTCGCGTTGTACTCCACCGTTTGGCCATCGGCGCTCACGTGAGCCACGCAGCCTCTCAGTGGCGGAGCGCTGATGTCGTGTCTGAGGTCAAAAAGGCAGGGTGGTGAGTAGAAAAAATAATTCATATCCTTGATATACTGTAGTTGGACCATTTTGAGAAAAGGGGATTTATTTTTTTTCCATTTCCAGCGTAATCAACTGAATTCTAATTACATTTTATTCTTATAATGAGATATTTTTTATATTTATCCGTTAAAAAAACTCATGTGTGCTTAGCTGCATTTTTTAATCATTTCATCATTTAAATAATGTAGTATATTATTACAGAAATCTGTTTGTAAATTATTGCCATTAATTCGAGATCAATACTAACAGTGGTTTGTTTTTGTCCAACATTGTCTTTTTTAATTGATCTAATTTAAAACGTTTATTTACAAGAAAGATTCTTGTGGGCTGAGCCGGATATATCCAGTTATTGTAATTATTGCAGTCGTTATTTATTTTTAACAATTTTTTTTTTTTTTATAGTTACAAAATAAATTGACACTGGTTCCTTTCTAACACATCAAATATTTAATTTAAAATGAGTTTAAATGGTGTATGATTTCTTTTAAACAATGGAACTATTTGAAATGTTTCATTATTATCTAAATCAATTTGTTAACAATTACAAATAATAGATATAACCTAAAAATAATCTTTATTTTAATTATTTATTTCTAATACATTTTTATCCAACATTTTTGGTTCGAAATTGATCATTTCCAATGTATTAGTTGATGAACAAAATGCTCTTGCGGTCTCAGTGGTTTTTTAAAAAAAATTTTTATGACTATATCTTTTTCGTCACAAATAAAAATACAGTGTTGTTGTATTTTATTTTATTTACCTGCTTCCAATGTGCTGCGGCACCCCCCCGATATAATAGCTTTCAAAAGGAGTGTGAACGTGCTTGATGGAGATGTGCTTGTCCTCATAGTGGACCGTGATCGTGTCATCAATGGTGATGACGAAGTGTTTGTCCTAGGAAGACACAGCTGGTGACATTCGGACACAAGAGTTCTTTTTTTTTTTTTTTCTTTTGTGAACTTACAAAAAGAGACACTTTGTCATTCCTGCGGGCTCTCTCCTTCATCCCCGCGTATTGACTTTGAAGCACCAGGTGGCCTTGTTCCACCAGCAAGCACCAAAATGTCTCCTGCCATACAGAAGCAGCAGAGACGGGAAACATATTCACACTTGAAAACTGTCCTTTATTTTGTTTTCGCGTGAAAAACGAAAGTTATTTCAACTCTATGCAAATCATGAGAAAATACGGATTTTCAATTTTTTTTCAGATGTTGCGGGTGAAAGTAAAAAAAACTATATTAGAAAATAGAGCGGTTTCTGGCTTTGCGGTCTTGCTAATTAGCTGATTTTATTTTATTTTATTATTTTGTGTCAATTTGAAAGAAGTGTGAAGATCAGACTTGTTTTTTTGCAAAAGATAATTCGATATTAATTCCACTGTCATCCTGCTTTTTACGCCTACGTACGCGGTAGGTTACTTTTATCATCGACATCTTTGAGCAAAACGAAGACTAAACTGACAAAACTTGGCCCTCGGCAAGTGTTCTGGTTTGTCTGTATGTCAGATTATGAGGGTATTCTAGAACGTAAATTTCTGTATTCAAGTAAAGTATCGACACCTGTATCTTTCTTGACCCTTACTTCTGTACCCATGTAGAACAACAAGGCATCGGTCTCCCGGCTGTTTGTGTGCAATTTAAAGATGCGTCTCCTCCTGTCGTGCGGTTCCTTCATCAAGACCTGGCGGTAGCCGCTTCCCCGGTAGAAGTGGGACACCTCGGCTCTGGGTAACCTGCATGACGACCCGTGGCTTTTCCTCGTCACTGTTTAAAAATTTGTAAGGCGCTGTTTTCGGCGCTTACATTAGAGCGTGCACACCGGCCTCCGTGTTGACAGCGCGCTTG